CCCAGCTCCAGGGCACTGCCCAAGGGCAACTCTGTCTGGGCAGGCTCTGATGGCTCCATCAGACCAACCCTGATGAGCCTGGAAAGCCATAGTGATGTTGTCTTCAAGCCAGGCTCTGCTGATTTCTGATACTCCACTGCTTATTCACCACTAAGAGAAAGAGACTTGGAGTTTCAGTGTCTCCTCTTGAACCGAGACGTGAATGTCTATGTCCCATTGCCCACCCAGAAAACATAGAGGAGAAGATTGATAGAAGAGGATCCTTCCCTTTCAGGTCACCCCTGCCTTGCTGTGGTTCTTGAAGAATCTCCTGGGAATGTGCTACACTGATCTGCAGCTGTGAGCAGCCCCGACCCACACAACATCATCTCAATATTGATAGAAGAGGATCCTTCCCTTTCAGGTCACCCCTGCCTTGCTGTGGTTCTTGAAGAATCTCCTGGGAATGTGCTACACTGATCTGCAGCTGTGAGCAGCCCCGACCCACACAACATCATCTCAATAGCAGGACCCTGCCCTGCCAGGGGTTGCTCCTGCCAACCACCACTTCTCCCTGCAGCACTTTGAGGAGCTCCCCGGGCAGGCTGAGAGCAAGAGCCCTGCACCCTTACAGAGCCCCTAAGCTGTGGGCTGTGCCAGCTTGAGGAGATGCCTCCAGGAACTCCACCTGCATTGCCCTGCACCCAGAGACTCACCATGTCAAGGGCTGCAGAGATTTCTCCTCCAGTGAGCTCGCAGTCATCCTCTCAATCCTGACCACCTTGCAGCTCTCTCTCTGCTTTGTTTATCCCCCTCAGACACCCTGGCAGGGGCCTTCTCCCTGCTGTGCTTTGCAGAGGAGCTGCCCCTGGGCAGAGCTGCAGAGAGACAGCTTGTCATGGGCTCCCTCAACCCCAGGAGCTCAGCCCAGCTCAGCAGGAGAAGCCAGGTCCAAGGTATTTTAAGAACCCCCCATGTGGGTTTAATGCTGGGTCCATGACACTCAGACACTGAGAGGACACTGAAGAAACCTCTCTAGGATTCAAAATCAGGTGCAACCTCCAAAGTTTCTTGTAGTGTTGATGAGTCCCACTGAGGGACACTACTGAGAAGGCATCCCCAGGGTCCAGTTAGAGCAGAAAACAGGAGGCAGTGATGACAGATCAGGAAAAGCAAGGGAAAGGTGGCTCTGATGCTGAGGAAACCTGGATGTGTTTCATTAATGGAAAGGGCCAAGCCCTGACCCCACTAACCAAACAGCCAAGCCCTGACCCACAGCTCCTGAGAAGTGGGATGCTGTCCCTCACTCATTCCTCAGGGCTCTTCCTGAGGCAGTGTGATGTGGAGATGGGCAATGCCAAGGGCAGGACTATGGGACGACACTTGCCAGGCTCCTTAAGGATTAACAAGGAGGCAATGAGGTCCTGGTGCTGGAAGGATGAGTTGTGTCCTCATAGGCATCAATGGAAGAGACAACAGCCATAACAAAAGTAATTTCACAGGGTTTTTTTCCCTTTTTTAACAGAAGTTTTTCTACATCACTCTGTCATCTCCACCACAGACTGTCCTATGGGTCTCATGGCACCTGTACCTCTTTCCCGGCAGGCTGTAGTCATCCACCAGGCTGCCCCACTTTGCTGTCACTTTCTTTTACTAATATCTCTCCATCCCCCCCCCTGTATTGTCCTTGACACTCAAAGCCTTGGACTGATTCAGACTCTTTCTAGATGATGTGTTGCGCCACAGCACTGCCCTGGGAGTGATATTTCTTTCTCCTCATTTCCACTCTGGACCTCCTCAGCTGCATTTTGTGGCATTATTTCTTCCTCAAGCTGTTTTCCACTACAAAGAAAAGCTCCACCATCTTTGAAACCACCCTTCAAGCACTCTCAGGCTTCTCCTGTACTTCTCCCATTTTCCACACCATTGAGCTCAGTGCCTTCAGTCTCTATGTACTTGAGGCCACATGCTTGAGATCTCCAAGCCTCATCTTGGGAGATATCTGGGTGCTGTCCAAGGTGTTTGCAGGTGAAAATGTCATGGTCATAGGTCAATAAATGATGGAATGAGACTTTTTACCAAGGCCTGTAGTGGCAAGAGAAGGGGCAATGGCCTTAAATGGCAAGAGGCTAGGTTTAGACTGGATATAAGGACTAAATTCTTTATGAGGAGGATGGCAAGACAGTGGAACAAGCTGCCCAGAGAAGTTGTGGATGTCCCATCCATCAAGTACTGACACTGTTTAACAGCAGATTTGCAGTGGTGGCCACCCTGTTGGTTTTGCAAGGAATGGCTTCTGAAGATGCATTTTGTGTTTCAAGCTGTCACTGGCAGAGGTCCCACAAAGTCAACCTGCAGTTGTGCCTGTGGGTCTTCACCATGTTGATGCTGAACTGGAGCTTTTAAGCTTTAACTCCAGTGTCATCTGCACTGGTCATGGTGCAAGAAAGACAGTTCCTACACTACCCATCTGCATCCTTCTTCATGGTAGGCCACCACTCACTGGCCTTCCGTTTGCTCAGGGTGTTGGCCTGTCACGGGGAGAGAGGATCAGAGTGAGTTACACACTTCACTCGTAAAAGAGATGTAATGATATAGTTATTGATATAAAATAGTGAATTAACAAAGTTCCAATGTTAATGTGACATTCATTTGACAGGATTTGATGGTGAGGTTCACTTAATTATTTAATGGATAGAGGACAGGGTCAGACACAACTGTCAGGGACACCCTCCAGTTTTGTCTCAAGGTTTCGAAAAGGACCCCCTTGCTTTCTAAACTCCTTCCCAGAGAGGAGTCCAGGTGCAGCTAGATCCAGTCCTAGTCCCAGACCTGATCAACCGTTTATGTCTAAAGGATTATATTTGCACAATCAATCCTTTCTATCACTTAGCTAGCATTTTGCAGTTTAGTCACTGTCAGTCACTTACCGAGGTTCTGTTGTGTCAAGGAATCTCTCAACCTTGATGAGTAACCTTGAGAGACGTCCCTACTCAAGGAGAGACCCTGACATGCAGCTCACTGTCCTTTCAGGAGAGATCCATGGGCCCCTGGGCTGTCCACTCTTTATGGAGTAAGATGATTGACCTCTAGTCATATTTGCATATCAGCCGTATTTTGGTGGGTGCATGCTCAGCAAGCCCTGTGCTGTTGGAAGAAGATGCACAGGATGGCCCTTGGCTGTTGTGTTGTTATCAGTCTCCCTTGATCCGGATGCTTCTAGGATGACCAGATAGAATCTGTTATGGTCACCACTGGTAGTTATCACTTGAAGAGCGTTACAGGAAATAAAGATCAGGTTTTAGTGGAGGGAACACACCGTCACACTCTACCCCATGACTAGAGTCAATTCAACTTACCCTCACAGAGTGGTGGTACGGTCACCTCTTGCCTCTTCACCTCACTTCAGAATGCTCTGACTATATCTCATAAGAAATTTGTGGCCAACATAGAATTTACTTTTTCCTGTTGCTTTCTGTGGTGGAGAGCAATATTCTGTCCCTGAATGGGTTGTGCTTTTTTGTTTGGCTGGGTATATGTGTTTAAATCTGTAGTCAGGTTCAGCTTGTTTTACATGGACTATGTGTTGGATGGTTAATGATAAAGCATTAATTCAATTTAATAACAATAAATTCTGCACTAGATTTTTGGATAGGTTTTTTAACATCATTTATTTAAGGATAATGTTTCTTCCTGAAGATACAGGGTGTACATCACTCTGATCACATTGTTAAAGAGTGGATCGAGAGATAATATGACATCTCCCTCAGAACTTTTTTACTTTCTCTTATCCACAGAGAACATCATGATGAAAATATATCCCTTAAGAAGTAACATGAGGAGAGAGCAGGAGAAACAAAGGTCATTGGTCTTTTAAGACAGGTGAAA